GTTCCTCCATGCCCTACGACAGACCCCTATGTCTTACTTGGTTAAGGCCTTGGTGGGGAAAAGCTTGTTATACACTGACCTCCCCCTGCGAAATACCAATAAATCATCACCACCACCACGAATACGTATTGAGCACTCAGGTACCAGGCACTGTGCTGAACACTTCTTCATGCATGATTGAAGGAAACCAAGAGAACCAAAGCGTAGACACCTTAAGCAACACACCCAAGATGGCACACCTCTACGGTGGGGGAGCAGGATTCCAACGCTTACCCACACGCCCCTCCGCCTCCAGAGGCAACCCTGGGCAGACGGCTAATAGTCGCTGCCTATAAGAGTCTGCAGATGTAACTCGTATCTCCTATAGGTGGCACAGAACTCTGAAGTCGCTCCCAAGTACTTAGCAGATTAACAGCTCCTTTTAAAGAAAAATAATTACCGTCCTCGCTGGCACACTGCTGGAAGAGGGGACGGTCCTCTGGTGGGGAAGAATGCAAATCAGGTTCTTAAGCCCCAACAGCAGAGCTCAACTCTGCTTCCTCCTGCTCTTATATCGGAAGCCCATGGAAGCCTCTCCAATTAACACCACGGAAGTCTGGTACTTCGGGCAGAGAGCTCAGCCACGAACTGATTAGTACCCAGCTCGTGCCAAAGGCTCATTTAAGACATCTGACAGCAGAGAGAGATGGCTTACCATACAGATTAACTTGCTATTCCTCCAGATCCTCCATAGTTTTAGTTATATACTAAATTAGATCAACACAAAGCAACATTTGTCCTCCACAGTAACTCAGCTTCTTACAGAAACTCCTTCACACACTTAAGATTTATGCCCTCAGCTCTTACAGAAAGTGGATATAAGAAATATCCATTTAAACAATCACTTAGGGCCTTCTGTAAAAGAACAGTTGAAAGCACTGTCCATTATGTTATCCAAAGCCCCTTAAATAAAAAAGCACATGATAAATTCAGTGCCAAGAAAAAGTTTGTCTCTCTGAGTTTGTTTTCCTTCATCAGAGGAGAACTGCATAATCACAGTTCTTTTTGCCTCAACTCTTTCAAACTTCAGAGGCAAATTCAGCGTTCAAATACAGTAACCCCACTTGTACTGTCTATCCTTTGATTTTGACTTTATTTTTCTGCCTCTTACTTTAAATTGCGATTCATTTTGCAAGCCAACTTAAATCTTTTTTTTCCCCCTTCAAAAATAGGACACAAACCCTAAGAGGGGCTTTTTCTTACTCTCTAGAAAAATCACCACAGTCCTCCCAGCTGCTACAAATGCTCCTGGGGTTGCCAGACCCATTCACATCCCTGCCCTGCTCTCTGTCTGGTTAACACAAAAGAATGTGAGAAGATCCTGATCAGCTTCCAACCCTCATCTACTCAGAGCACCAACCCCAAACAAATAAAGACAAGAATGGCCCAGCTTTTAGGCCTCTATGCAGGGATGTCCAACCTTTTGGTGTCCCTGGGCCAAAATGGAAGAAGAATTGTCTTGGGCCACACATTAAAAACACAAACACTAATGAAAACTTGATGAACAAAAAAAAGGTTCTGAGTACATTTAGGATTTTGTGTTGGGCCATATTCATAGCTGTCCTGGGCCACATGCAGCCCCCAGGCCGCCAGCTGGACACCGCTGTGAGTCAGGAGTGGAGCTAATTCCCAAAGCCAAGAATGTTTCCACAGAAGATAACAATACCTGAGACAGACTGCAGTTAAGATGACAATACTTGGGACACACTTGACCCAGGGCCATCATTCTAAGCCATCCTAAACATTTCTTTTGAAATAAAAGAAATAGGCATTAACTACTGTTACAGATTCTATTTTCCAAAGATGACTGCAGCAATATTCACCAGCCACAAGCCCTTTTGCAATGGGACCCTTGTTACTCTCCCATTAAGAGACAGGGTCTCTTTCCCTACCCCCTTGAACTTGAGAAGATTCTGTGATTGCTTTGACCAACAGCAAACAGTGGAAGCGACACCATGCCAGTCCCGGGGACAGCTTTTTAACTGGCTGGGCACTTCTACTTCCTGCCTCCTGGAAGCCAGCCGCCACGTAAGGAGTGGGTGCCCCGAGAAGTCTGTGCTCTGAGAAGTGCAAACCACATAAAATGGGCTTGGAGGATGAGGCACCCTGTGGGGACAGAGAGAGGGGCCTGAGGGCATGGTGACATGTGCATGAGAGAGCCATCTGGAAGGGACCCCTAGCTGTCGCCATGTGCATCAGAGATGAAGCCCCCCGAGTCCTTCCTAATTCCTGACCCTCAAAATCACAAGTCCAATAAAAGCCAGTGGTTTTCAGATGGGGATAGGCCAGCCCCTCACCCACAAGGCTGTTGCAGGGATTCACTGTCTAATGCATATAAAGCCCTTAGCCCGGTGCCTGGCACACAGTAAGGGTTCAATAAATGGTAATTATTATTAATATTTTTAATATGTCAAGTAGCAAGATTGAGAGTTTTGTATAAGACCCAACACCTGCAGAGAAAACCAACTTTCTTAAGAATTCTTTGTGACAACACTGCATAGTCACACAACATAAGATGACCTATGTAACCAGAGTGCTTAGCAGGCCATGTCTTCCTGTCTTTTTTGGGCACCTCTCAGTTACCTCCGATAGGCCCCAAGTTGCACCTGGTATGGCACCCACATCCATACACAGACATGTTGTGTCGCTAGAGAGAATCACGTGTCAGGCTGGGCGCATGGGTTTCTGGGAGGATAGTTCAGTTGGGAAGTCTGGACAAAGAAAGGTCTGCTGCTGTACTCACACCGGACTTGCCTCCTGACAAGTGTCCAAGCAGCTGCAGGGGTGTGAGTCACAGGCACGGGGAAGGAGGAGATTTATGAAGCAGAAAGGAGTAGAAGGCCACTGGTTGATACTGCTTTCACTCCCTGTAGGCTTCCTCGGGGGCGAATGTTTCTGAGTAGTCTGAATTGAACACCCTTGCCTTCTTTGCAATTCTTGGTTTCCTGTGCACCTACTTCAACACAGCCATGTGTCCGGTGCTGGTTTATCTCTCCAGCCAGCCAGCATTTATTGAGCGCCCACTACGTACAAAGCGCTGTGTAAGGTGTGGGGTCCTGGGCACCTCGGCCCCAGCCAGAGGAGAGCACACCGGTGACTTGGGCAACAATGGTGCGGGCACTTTGCAGAAAAACAAACGACTGGATCCTCAGATAGTCACTGAACCTTTCCCCACAATTCAGTCTCTTTATTTCTTCTCACTTTGGAGAATGCAGACACCAACAAATCCCTTCCAGTTAAAAGAGCCCATTCCCTCCCTGCGCTCCCCTCCAGGCCTCTGCCAGTCCCCGCACCTCACCCACCCCAAGGCCTGCCTGGATCAATGCACGAGCACTTGAAAGAGGCCCTCAAATTGGAGAGCAGGCAGCACTCTCTCAAAAAAACCTGCCCGAGCTGTGATTCTGAGTTGGGCAGGGGTGGCCGGGGGGCGGGGGGGGGGGGAATGGGAGGCGGGGCGGGGAAGGGAGGTAGGAGTGACGATGCTGGGCTCAGACAGCACCACACAGCGTACCGAGGACCAGCGCTGAGAGACAAATTCAGCTCCAGAGATGAAAAATCCTCTCTCGGAGCTGACAACATCTGTTTTATTTTGAAGGTTGCTAAGGAGAGTTCTCGCTGGGCCAACATTGTTCCAGTTCAGTACTTCAGAGCAAGTCTCTTGCGTGGGTTTCGGGCAGCGAGAGTAAAAGCTTGCCACATAAACCTCATTCCTTTTGCTTTTCAGACGTCAAAGGAGCACTTTGCTACCGGGGATGACGAACACCCTTCCTCATTTCCCTCTGAACTGGACGTACCTTCTGCTCACTCTCTTGTTACTCATCTTCTCCCTGGCCCCTCTGTCCTCACTTGTCAACTCCCCATCTTTGCCAAATGAAGTCTTATCAGGAAGAAACAGACCCACTAACCCACGGGAAGATTTCAACGCAGAGAGAAGGAAGAGCCAAGTACGAGCTAGGGGTCGCAGCGGGAGGATGCTTAGCATCAGACGAGGGAGGAAACGATTTCCTGGCCTTTAAAGATGTTTTACTCCTAATCACCAGAGCCAGGCCAAATGCCTCCAGCAGAGCTCGGAACAGCCATAGGGCAGGAGAGAGCTCAACCTCTGGACAGGGCCGCGTGTGACCAGCAGGCCTGTCGCTGTCCTTGCGATAATGGAGGTGGGAAGCAAGGCACACTCCTCCCGACCACACCCTGCCTAGGTTTACTTGTAATTAATCACAAGGCAGTAAGAAAAACTAGGAGAAGTCAGTCTTGCAGGGCAAGCACTTAAGATAATCAGAGGTGGGGAAGATAGCAATGGTAAAAAAGAAAGGACACGGCAGTGATCATCGCTTATATGACAAGTTGTTATAAATGGGTGGCAAGGTGACCAAGAGTTGACAGCCACTCAGCTCCTCCAGCGAGAATCATACCTGGGTGAGAGCCCACCAGGAGAGCTGGGCAAGCAGGAGGGCCCTTCCATTTAACTGGTACCTGCAAATAAAATCATTTAGGGATTCTAGGGCATTCGGTGAAAAAAGCGTGTTCCAGTAACTGCAGGAACTCTCTCTCTTCCTGCACTGGGCTTCAGACGTACCAGCTCCTGCCAGAGAGCACCTAGGAGGCTAGGATAGGAAAGCAGGAATGACAGCGGTCCCCCTGCACAACGATTCGTTTGAAAGAGCCATTCAGCAGGGCTGGACCCGGCAAATCTCAGCAACAAAAGGAAACTCTCTCCTCTTAAATGAGGGTATTGAGACAACTGAGGCCACATTATCTAAACATTGCCCTTGCCTGCCAGATTCAATTTCAGCCAGTTTTGCTTACACCCCCAGCTTGGGACCCATCCAGGCTAAAGCACGCTTGTGCTGATATCAAGAACGCCAAAATTACATGAAACGCACAGCGCTCTGACTCCTCGCCGTGGCCCCCGAGGAAGGGTCGAGCCAGAGGGGCTAAGAGCTGTCTTCCAAACCACTCACCTAGCCAGGTCACATCCACACCGGCCGGGGTAGACATGGCTTCTGCCACCTTGTGCCAGCTCCTGTTGTGTCCTGGTGCCCAGAATGCCACGTGGCAGAAATAGTAGCCAGAGTTTTCTTTGCTAACATCTCGAACCAGTAAATGGTAGGAGCGTGCATCCACGTGACTCAAAGCGACGTGTGGAGAGCTGTGTACCAGGGAATCACGGTCCAGCCGTGCCAACACGCGGGGGCCAGGCACAGCGCTGCCAGGCGTCCTGCTGAAGTACCACGTCACCTCAGGTCGGACGTCATCTGCTCGGTCTGTTGTGATGTTGCAGGTCAGGTCCAGCTCCTTCCCTTCAGCCACAGACACGTTCCTGCCCACGGCCACTCGCAGAACTTGAAAATTAAAAACAAATACAACTTGATGATCTGGATGATGCTTGTCCCTCCCCCGCCTTCAGATCATCTCCTTTTCCATTCTTATTTACCACATTAAAGTTCGATGGCTTTGTACAGTTATAAATGCTTGAGTAATATTTAGTAAATAAATTCATGAACTGCACCGTATTTCCTTTTAATTCATATAAACTTATATATACTTACTATACGCCAGGCACTGTTCTGAGTGCTTCATAAACATTAATTTTCAAAACAACCCTATGAGGGAGGTACTATCATTACCTCCAAGTTACTGATAAGGAAACTGAAGCACAGAGAGGTTAAGTAACTTGCCCAAGGTCACACAGGTAACAAATATGTGGCAGAGCAGGAATTCAAATCCAGGCTGCCTGCCTCCAGGAACTTCTTTTAACTGGCACACTATTGTTTGAAAAGAAGTTTGCTGAACGTTGCAACACTCACATCATACTTTCTCCATGTGCATGGCCAGTTGGGGGTGATTTTACAGAGAAAGCACAGCTCAGTTCTGACAGGTACAAACTGTTAACTGGGGACTGGGTTGGAGGCTGGAGCGTAGGAGGTGAGGGTGAAACCATCTTTTGGGTTAAAAAAAAGAAAAAGAAAATCCTAAACAGAAGGACCGAGAAACTGAAGCCAGACCATACATCTTATGAGTCAAGTCTTCAAAATGTGATGTATGGAGAACACCATTTACTCCATTACACACCACCCTAAAGTTAAGTGTGAAGCATATAGTTTCAAACCAAAACGACGATTTCTGGGTTACCCATGCCGCAGCCCTCTCTCATTAGTGTGGATGATTAAAAGTAGACGACGGTGGAGATGAAGAGCCCGCAGCCTTGGTGCCGCCGTCTCAAGGCAGATCTGGTTTCGGCATCGCCATCACAGCTTTTTACATGGAAACATTTCACTGTGTTTAGGGGGCTTTTAAGACAAAGTTGAACATCTGTAATCAGGGTAGAAAAACATTCAACTCGTGGTAATGCTGTGGGAACAGCTGCTCAGAGGATACAGTCCTGGTCTCCCAGCAAGGGTCGCTCAGCTTCGACGGCGGCCCGGAAAACGCTGTGGTAGAGACTGGCGCCCAGTTCCGAAGAGACCAGCCCCAAAGCCTGGGCCCTCTGCAGTGAATTGCTTTCTTATGAATATTTCCAAAGCCTGATGACACTTCAAACAAGTGTCTCAGGCCAAGTTCAAGACCCACCTTGATGAAGACAGAAAATGAGGCAGGCATAGTAATTAGAAAAAGGACTTTCAAAGTCTAATATCTCACCTCTACCTTCCCTCCAAATTCTTCTTCCTTCTGAGGTGACCCTTTTAAAGGGGTCAAAAGTAATCTGAGGATGTCTTTTGAGAGGAGTCAGTGTGGGAACCATTGCCCTGAGCCTGTGTTGCGGTTTGAACCACTCCATGGACAATGACTCCAGCCCGAAACCCTGGACTACTGCTGTGTGCCAGCCTCCAGCTGCTGGAGGTAAGGAGGAGGCTCAGGAGGGAGGCAGGTGCCTGAGGAAGTGGTCAATATACAGCTGCGGACTATCCGTAGGGAGTGAGGAGTGAACAGAGTCTTAGGTTTAGGTATAGTGGCAGAAATGTCTTTCAACTGTACAGTCCTCTATGTATTTTTGTCTACAAGTGGCTAAATATCTTGTCACACCATTAACCATCATTTCCACATGTTTTGGATTTGGGGGGAGGGTCACTTGTGGGACACAGGAAGGAGCAGGCTGAAGAACAAAAGAAGTTCTAAGCACTTGTAATGCAAGAGGGGACCTCAGGCCAAGCCTATGGGAAGTTCGGGCTCTCTCCTACTAGATTTAATTGAATCCATAATCCACACCACTATCTACCCCAACCAGACCACTCGTGGCCAGGGGGATACTGTCACACAGGTAACGCAGCCCCACTATTTCAGTAGCTTTGTGCTATTTATCCCAACAACGCAGTAAGAATATTTAGGAAGTTACCTGTGGGCAGTGCAGGTGTCAACAAGAGAAAGAGCCGCGCCCTAGAGTGGTGGTTCTTAACCTGAGTTCCACAAAGGGAATCCACGATGGATGAAAAAAAAAAAAAATCTGTCTTTATTTTTACTAATCTCTGTCTGAAATATAGCACCTCCTCTCATTATGAGACTTAAGCAACAAACCAGTGCAGTATTAGCTGTCCCTGGGATTTTGCTACAATAGAAGTCACAGATGTTTTTACATCGCATTACGATTGTTGCAGATACCTTATAATATCATTTACATTTGTCGCCCTTTAGAAATTCCAGTAGTTGGTAGGCCTGCCACTATATCCTATTATTTAAAGCACAGATAAAGCACAATATGGTCATATAACAAATTTGTCTTAAAAGTATTTTGAAAACTACTTCAATAAATTTGTTTTCCTTTATCATCCTATGTATGCATTTTATGCCTTAAAACATGTTAATTCTGAGGAAGGTCTATGGGTTTCAAAAGGCTGTTGACGAAGCTCACAGCACAAAAAGGTTATCAATGCCCAGGCTCAGGTGAGAGCCAAATGCTATTACCTGCCTAATACGTTCAGAGGGCTCAAGTCTTTAATGAGATAGTATGGGTTCTGTGGTTTGTCTGAAAAAAAAAAAAAAAAACAACAAAAAAAAACCTTTGCAACTGAAATTCCTGCATAAAAAGAAAACCTGCTGCAAATCTTGAAACTCTTAACCCCTCTGCCTGTTAAAACAGCTGTTTGATGCAAGCTGAAGACCCGAGGTTTCTTAAGGCAGATTCCAGGCGGATCACTTCTGAAAAGGAAGGTGACCCGAGTTCCTCTAGGAAGTGATTTCTGCAGCCACGGAACCAAGAGCGACCAGGACGGGGCCGCCCCTCTTCTTGGCAAGAGCGCTCCCTACCACATCGATGACCATGGTCGCCAGAACCTCAGTCCTGCTTTTACCAGCTCCAGCTCCCATGTGGTGGTGCAAGCGCAGAGGGAAAGGCTCAGGACGATGCAGCCTGCAGAGGACAGATTCTCCCGTGTGGACAGTTTCCTGCTTTCCTTCCCATCTGAGCAACAGGGCGGCCACACACTTCTGTTTATGCTCAGGAAGAGAGTCTGGCCAAGGTCTTCCCAGTTTGCAAAACAGGAGACAGCTGCTAGGGCTGTAAAGAACTCTGCACTCTGAAGATGTCACACTCCCAGAAAACCAAGTCCATCCATCCATCCACAGCAACAACATCATGCTGAGATGATCTCTACACTTTGTCTCTGCCAAAGCCCACGCTCCACGGGGCCTGGGAATGTTCTGAGCAATTCCGACCCAGGGCCCAGGACACAGCTGATCATCTGGTAGGTTCTTTGTAGATGTTGTGGGACATGGAATCAATAATGGCTTGTTTTCCTTTCTTATTTGCTTTTCTTTTATTTTTATCGGTTTTCTAAAATGCACTTTGTATTTTCTTAACTACTTCTCTAATTGGATTAGAAAGTTGTGTTGTGTGTTGTTTGTTTGTTTTCCTGCTTTGTTTTTTAAGCTGGTCCACAGATGGCAGGACAAAGAACTTCTTGCACGGAGACCTCAGGGCTGGATGGATGCTCCTTGGGGTTGTGTCACGCAGGAAATGCGAGGAGGCCCCGCCCTAGAGAACACCTTACCTAGAAGGGGACGGAGAGCCTGAGGGGACCTGAGAGACAGGCCTAGAGGGTCAGGTTAGACTAGAGGCTGAGATGGACCAGCCGCACACCCCCCAATAATGGAGGGGAAGGCAGGTCCAGAGATTCTGGAAACACCAGACAAGATAAAGCCAAGGGAGCCAGGTGGGGCGGCTCCACCCGAAAGGCCCTCTGGACGCCAGGCCAGGCCTTATTCTAGCACTTAAAGGGACTTGTCTTTCAGTCAAAACATTGTCTTCGTATCATGGGTAACCTGTGGCCTCCTGGGGGGTATGAATCCAGATGAACAGTGGCTGCAAAGCAAAACTATGGGCATAAAGCACAAAACAAATCCACCCTCCCCAACTATCAACACCACCCTCCTCCCTCCCTGCCCCCAACACCAGGCCTCAGAGAAGCAGAAATCTTGTCAGAAAGGGATGGGCCTCCCACCTAGTTCTTATACCATCACTGGTCAGAAAATAAGATAAAGTCTAACATATCCAGTTTCCAGAAGCTCACCTGTTGGCTGGATCAGAATGGTGGCCACATCTACAGCTTTTTCTTGGATTTCTTGCCAGCTGCCCTGCTCCTCGATCCACTCACTGACGACGCACCTGTAGGTGCCCTGGTCAGCGGCCAGGGCCCGGGACACGGAGAGGCGGTAGCCGTCGCTCCCCACGGTGTCCAGGCGCACGTCTCCGCTGTGGTAGCGCTGCTCGTAGCCGGGGCCTGGGCGCAACCGGCCCTCGTGGGTCAGGGCGAGGACGCTGTGCCAGGTGGAGCCGTGCCGCAGCTCCCACAGCAGCGCCAGGTGTGTGTGCAGTGGGGATGCAGTGGCGGCCGCGCAGCGCAGCTCAAAGGGCTCGCCCAGGCGCAGACTCAGGCCCTGGCCCAAGGAGGACGGCGGGCTGGCGGCCACGTGCAGGGCATCGGACAGCACTGGAGAGGGGGAGACAGGCCGTCAGCAGAGCACCTGAGCCCCCACCCCGGCAGGCCGCAGCCCCCTTTCTGACCTTGAGCCATGAGCCAGGCTGTGACCAAGGACAACTAACTTCCTCCTCCCCTTCCCTGTTCTAATGCCCAGATGGGTACATTTTCCCATTATGATTCATATATAATCTCAGTCGACTTTCCGACTTTAAGATGAAAAAAAAAAAAGGGGGGGGAGCCTAATAAGACCCCCTGGTAGTTTTCACTGGTATGAAAACTCCCTTTTGGGAGTTGGGCCTTGGGGATGTGCTTCTGCCACCCTTTCCCCTCTGTGCCTCAGTTTCCTCATTTCTGAAAAGGGGTCACAAGTAGACCTATCTCAGGGGCTGATGGAGTTCAACAAGTTACACGGGAAAGTGCCCAGGACGGTGCTGACACTTAGCAAACACGATAAAACCACAGTCCCTGGCTGTCAAACAGTCCTTTGTCAGGACCCAGGGCTAGGGGAGGGAGCCTGGAGGACCTTCTGGGAGTTAAAACGGTCCGCAGAGGGAGGCTCAGCACGCGCTGCCTGTTGTGGGGTGGGGATGGGAACTGCCCACAAGTGACTAGAATGATCAGCGAGCTCTACAAGCTGGGAACCTGGCAAGGAAAATGGAAGCCTGGTCCCTTTGCTCCCCCCGGCTAGCTGGCAAAGGGGTAGGCTCTTCTACAGAGTCTAGAAAAAGAGGGGCAGGGATTGAGGGACTTCGGGGGGTACTATTTCGGAAGGGAAGTGATAGGTAGGTAGCCAGAGAGGGGGCCTCTCCCCGGGCCGGAAGGATCGCTCAGGCTGGCCTGTGAGCTGGATGAGGGAATGCGGGAACAGCAGAGCCATCAACTCTTTTGTTTATCCCACCACACCACTCTCAGAAACTACCCTGGTGTCTTTGAAAAGGGACTACTCAGGAAAAAGGGGAAAAAAAATTACACATCGAGAAAGACCCATCTCTACTACAAAATGAATATAATGATCTTCTAGTATGTACATCAGTCTGTGATTCCAGCCAACATGACTCAGTCGCCAAAGCCCACTTATCCCTCAGGGCAGAAATGAACAGTTTCAACACCCACGAAGCTGAAGGCCAGACACATTCTGGACCAAGCATGGCAGCCGCCAGAGGCTTCGCCCACCCAGGCCGCCAACCAGCCTCCTTTGTGGGCCATCCACCTGCTCTCAGTTACGAGGGGAAACAAGGATGCATCTGACCTAACAGAGGTGTAGCATGTGTGTGCTGATTATGAAAGCAATGCATTATGTAACTGCAATGCAAGAATGTCTTATGGGACCTTTTGTTCTAAAAAACATATTTAGGATTTTCTAAAGGAATAAGGAAGAGGTAATGGAAGAGGTATGTTTGATGTTTTAATACCTACATAATGGACAGGACTGGTCTGTCCCCTCATGAGTCAGATGGGCGAACAGTATCTGAGACACAGTAGGGCTCTACAAACCGTTACTGTGGGAATCAACCCCTCCTTTTATGCCCTCAAGTGCATCTTCTACCTTCTTGATTATTGAATACACTCCTACCCTGATGTCCATTCTTTTTGGAACAAGGCAGGGTACAAATAAATGCCTAACTAATTATAACAAAATAACAACAATAATGTTTCTATTTGGTTAGCCCCAAATTAAAATAGTTTGTTCTTGCTCATTTACTTATTAGCTGTGTGATTTTAAGAAAGTAATTAACCTCTACTCTCCCATTTTCTCATGTGGAAATTCAGGGAATACCTGTCCTATCTTCTTCATTGAATCCAGAGAACTGAATGTGTGAGTAAATCTAACAGGACTTGGAAAATAGGAAAAAACAAAAACAAAAACAGTGCCACTCTACACGGTGTGATGACTTGTACAGCCAGGCCAATAAGCTTGCGGTGTCCCATCTTAAGTTAGCAGGGACCACATCGCTCTTTCTCTACCTATAACCCATACAACTTCTAGAACTAACAGGTACTTAAGTTATGAAGGGCACACAGAAGGACATGAGCTTTGAAGCATGTTATTCCCATAACAGCAAACGTGATCGTCATGACCTTCACTGAAAGCTTCTATTGGCACCGTTCTGAGGCTTTAGCCATGCTATCTCCCTTTTCCTCACCAGCTTTAAGAAAGGCCCTGTTGCAGAGGAGGAAGCTGAGGCAACGTGCCCAAGGCCACAGAGCTGACAAGTGGTAGAGCCAGAGATCGCGCTCATTGAGTGTGGGCAACCTGGCTCGGAGGTGGGCTCCGTACTATCACACCCTGCTGCCTCCAACTCACCAGCCAGGGGATGGCTCAGAATCCTAGTGCAGAGAAAGGACCCTCGGAAGCCACCTGGCCCATCGTTTGCCCTTAACATGTAAGACGCTACTACTCCTTTATAGGAGGAAGCAGGATCTCAGCAAGGGTTAAGTTTCTTGACATAGTCACCCACAGCCAAGTGGCACAAGAAAGTCTGGCCCCTGGCATGGCGACCCCCCATGAGGATGTACCTTTCACCTGCACTGTATCCTCATAGTTGCCCTGGACGGTGGCATCTGTGCTGGGAGTTGAACACTTGTAGTAGCCTTGGTCCGAGGGCTGGACGTTCTTTATGTGGAGCTCCACAGCGTCATTGGCGGTTCGCTTCAAAACAATCTCACCCCGCTGCAGGCGCTCCCGGTACAGCTGGGCCGGGAAGCCCACCTCCCAGGTGCTGGCGAGCTCGACATAGTTGCTCCCCAAAGACGAGAAGCTCCAGTCAAAGTTTTGCTCGCTGGGGCCGTCATAGTCGCTGACGTTGCAGGGGATGACCAACTCGGTGCCTACCACCCGCACCAGGCTCCCGGCGGGGACTCTCACCACACGCCCTCGACAAAGAGCTGCAATGACAAGAGATGAAAGCCAGGTCTTGAATCTAGCCAAGTCTTCCTGGTAAAAATGCAGCAAACTGGTAGGTGCTCCTGTTTGCAGGCACGTGGCAGAAATGTGACATCTGAACAGCTGGGGGAGACGGTGTCCTGCCTGTGTCTGTGCAGAAGGAGGTCATCCCTAGTCCTGTCAGCCAGGAGCACACCCCTGAAATGAGTACCTCTCACTCAACAGTTTCCTAGGACTGACAGGGAGGAAGACAAGTATTTCAAGTAGGCTAACCATAAACCTGAATAAGCTTCTTCCCCCGTTACTATTTAACATACCATTACCACTCTGTGTGATGTAGAAGCAGTTTAGCTTTTGTGGGAAAGAAAGGACACAGCTAGTCAAGTATTTACACTTCTGCCCACTCGGTATCAGCCCTCATCCCTGGAGACCATCATTCCCTGGGGCCCCTGAGACCTGATTTACATTGATGGATGTCAACTTTTAAATCCTACAGCAGCCTGCTGATAACATGATTTAACTCCGATTATCTTACATTGTCTATAAATTTTAAAATATGACTCTACTAAGTATTAATTTTCTATTTTCTGGCTCATTTCCTTCTCCCTACTCTTCACCCTGATCAAAATTCAGAAGGAGGACAGGAAAACACAAAGGGAGAAGGCGCACTGTCCGGCTGGTTGCTGGGCTGGGTGTTGTTAGGAATGCAGCCACTCGCGGGGGACAAGACCGTGGACAAAGCCAAGAGTTCACTGGCATTCCTGTGTGACCTTGAAGACGTCGTCATTGCAATGAAACCCAGCACAATTCCATAGTGCGCTTACTACCTGTGTTTAGCATTGCGACCCAGACCAAGTGAACTTGCCCGGCTCCTTCTAGATGGCCTATGAATAAGGTACATGGGAGGAAGCATGGGCTCTGAAATCAAGGAGACGCAAGTTTAAATCTGAGAGGCCTCTCAGCCTTGCCTTCCAGCTATTAAATGGGGAATGGATCCACTGAGCTCATGAAATAACGTGCCGATCTGAGAGTCTGCCACATAATAAGAACTTCTGTTATTTACTTCCAAGTCTGTATATTTATCATTTGTTATGGGTTGAGTGGTGTCCCTCTTCCTTCTAAAATTCCTGTGTTGGAGTCCTAGCTCCAAGTACCTCAGAAGGTGACCTTATTTTGAAATAGGGTCATTGCAGACGTAATTAGTTGTCGTGTTGAAGTCCTACTGCAGTAGAGTGGGTCCCTAATCCAATGACTGATGTCCTTAAAAAGGAGAAATTTAGACAAAGCCATGTATAGAGAGAGACACAGCGTGAAGATAAAAGCAGAGAGAAGGGGATGTATCCAGGACAAGCCAAGGAACACCAAAGGCTGCCGGCAAGCCACCAGCAGCCAGGGGACAGGCTTGGAACAGGTTCTCCCTCATGGCCCTCGGGAAGAACCAAGCCTGTCAACACCTCTGCAGCTAGTCTCCAGAGCTGGGCGACAGTACACTTCTGTTGTTCCAGCCACCCAGGTTGTGGAGCTTTGTTACAGAAGCCCCAGCAAATCCAACACACAATCCTTGCTTGTTTTTCAATGGTTTAATTTGTGCTTTTCAAACTGCAGTTGCCACTGTTCAGTGGGTTGTAAAAGCAATTTATAGTGGTTGTGACCAGCACATGTGTGTTATAATGAAATTAAACAGAACAGAAAATACAAGAGTCCATTCCATTTAGTAAAAAATAACTCATGTTTCACTGAGTTTTGTTAGGTAAGCAAAGGTATGTATATACCACATTATGAAGACAACTTTTTGTCTTAATTTGTGTAAGGGTAAAAAAAAAAAGTTGAGAAATTCTTTTTTAAAGTCATCTCTTGTTTTTTTCCCACCCCTTATCATTTACTTTAAGATGGAAAAATGGAAACATTCACATTAGGAAACAGTGATGGGGTGAGTGGGCGCTCTGAGCTGGGGGTTGACCACCTGCCTCTCCCAGCCCAGCCAGAGCAGGGCCAGGCTGATGCCCGTTCTAAAAGCTGCTGCACCCTAAATCACTCTCCCTAAAAAGAAGGTGGCCGGTACTGGTAACTGAGAACTATGGGTCACACTGCTCCCCATGGAGAATAGTAACACCAACCCCAGAGGAGGTCGGAGCACGCTGCTCCTTCCTTCCTAAGGACGGGCCTCCACGGTGATGTCTGCGACCTCACACCTGGTACTTCCTGCAAACGTGTCTCCACGGCTGCTGCCCAACATTCCTTACGTGCCCCTCAGATGGGGCTGACCCTGCACCCCCAGCCCCCAGGACAGCGCTGCCGCTGAGAGCAGGTGAATCAGAATTCTCCTGCCTCATCTTCGCTGAAGCTTCTCAGGGGGACACTTTTACCTCCTCTGGGAACAGGGTCCCATAGAGATAATTTGCACAGAAGCTGCAGGTGGGCAGCCCTCTTGACAAGGGGGAAAAGCCATTGACCGTAGGACAGACCCAGGCCAGCAACACCAGGACCAGAGAGGGGAGGGCACGCGCCCTAGTGACCTGACGGCGCCGTCTGAGTCAATGGACGTAGCCACATCTTCTAAGTCATTCCATCCTCACCCAGGTCCACACAGGCATGTACATGTGTACGTACATGCACCCCTCTTCCTCTGGGCATTTCCCTTTCTTGCGGTTCCTTTCACCCTCACTTATGTTCCTTAACTGAATTTCTGTCACTAGCAACTCAGAACGTTGAAATAATACACAAAAACTACCCAGCAGCGAAGCCCTGGTCACCACAGTGCACTAAGGAAACAGGTGATCTCTTTTCCAGTGTAATGTTAGAGATGACCAGACGATTCTGAATCTCCCCACGAAAGCTTTCCGCAGGAACGGCCAGGGTGGCCATCTTCAAGAGGCAACAGAGCCTAGTGCCTGACTTCCTTGTGCCCAAGTTTCCCCATCTGAGAAATGGAGACAACAGTCACCGTGCTCCCCGCCATGGACAGAGCTACAGAGCACTCATGACCACGCCTGACGCAAGGGGAGCTTAGGCGATTCTTGCTTTGCAGGCCACCTCTGGAATAAACATGATCACAGTCACTGACTTTGTTTCTTTGATGAGGTTTGCACAGGAGTTTCCAAATGTATAAATCTTTTAATTTCCTATCTCTTGTAAGAAGTTAACCACGGTTGCCCTGGCTGATGTGGCTCAGTTGGTTGGGTGTCGTCCCCCAAAGCGAAAGGTCACAGGTTCAATTCCTGGTCATGGCACATGCCTGAGTTGTGGGTTCAGTCCCAGGTGGGGCACGTACAAGAAGCAACCAACTGATGCTTCTCTCACACATCGATGTATCTCTCCCTCTCTTTCCCTCTCTCTAAAAATAAATAAAATTGTAAAACAAACAAACAAACAAACAAACCAAAACCAAAAAGTTGACCATGGTTAACAATTGCCCGAAAGGGCCCCCAGGCATAAGACTACATTCCATACAGGGTCTCTATCTTTATTCTTGTGATTGGAGCCTGGGAAACTGATCCAGCTCCCCGTCTCTCTCCATTCCTGCTTCCACAGGATTGCCAATATCATCTTTTCAACACAGAAATCATGTTAGTTTCCTGGTCCAAAGTCTTTAATGGCTCCTTATCACCCACAGGACACAATCTGTCTTCCAGATGCCCCCACTGTGATCGCCCAGGTCCAAGTCACCAACCCCCTCACCTGAGTTATTGCGACAACCTCCCAACCGATTTCCTGGTTTCTCCACTTGACCTCTACTCTCAAAAAGTGATCTCTTCATAGCTTAAGTTGTATGACATCATTACTCTGCTCCAATCACTTCCCATCTCATTCAGGTAAAAGTAAAAAATCCTCCGAGAAGCCATGAAGGCCTCACTCACAACACCTGGCCTTCCTGGAACCCCCTGCTCCTCTCCCACTGGCTCCGTCCACTGTATTTCAGCTGTGCTTTCCTCCTAGGGTTTCTAGAAAAAGCCAGACCTGCTGCAAACCTCCGGGCTTCTGCACACTCCTCCGTCTGAGCCCTCTCACTCACCCCTGGCTTCTCCAGCAGCTTCAGATCTTCCTTCCAACGTCACCTCCGTAGTGAGGCCTTTCCTACCACCTTAAAATCACACCCACCCCCGTTCTCACCCCGCCAAATTTTCTTCTTCTCACTTACCGCTAACACACTGTATGCACATTCATATATTTTTACTATTATTTATTGCCTGTCTCCTCCCACTAGAACGTAAGTTCCATATGAGCAGTAATTTTTCTGTGTTTTGTTCACGCACACACAACACACACACAGAGCCTGTTACATGGTAGTTTTCAATAAATATTTGCTAAATGAGCCACTGAATAAAAGACATACAAGCTCACGCCCGGTCTGGCCCGTGGCTAGCACTCCCACTTCTTCTCCGACCATTGCTTCACCTCATAGTGCTTACACTCCAAGAAAACAAATGGCCCTTCATTTTCTGGAAATGCCATGCCCTCTCGTGGCCCACGGCCTCTGCTCCTGTGCTCCTGCAGCTGGAATCCCTTGCCAGTCATCTCTCAGCCTCGCACGAGCAGCAGCTCGGGCACCGCTCCCCCTGTGAAGCCTGCCTACCTCCCCCGGAGCCCGCCTGCCTCCACGTTCCAACTCAACCTGCGGGAGCACCTCCGACCAGCCATGTATAATAGTGCTGCTGGGAAGAGCAAAGCGGATAGGAATGGATGCCTGAAAGATCAAATTCTAATGTGAAAAGATATAAAACCGAGCTGTGTCTTGCGTGCAGAACTGAGCTGTCCCCTCAGCCATGCAAATCGAGATTTTAAGTTTTGGTAACAGAATTCAACTCACTACAAGCAATCTGGTATTTAGCACAGATTTCCTTTAATAGTGTTAAATAACAGCTAATAATATTTTAAAATAAATATAAATGGTAAAAAAATAAAGCATATGGCTCTTTTCAAATCGAAAACATATCTGCATAGGCACACATTGCCAGTTTTTTGTCAAAAATCTCTTATAACAGTTGATAACTGAGGGGGGAAA